GTAGCTTTGTGCGAACTTCAACAAAACAATACTCAAGAAAACAACAAAAAATAATTGTTCGCTCCAAAGATCCATAAGGTTACTGATACAGCAATCTGTAGCGTTAAAAATTTATTATTCTGCATTTAAAAGGCTCAGCGGTATTTCAAGGCTTATAACATTAAAAATCGAGTTCTGATACCAGCATTTGGCATAACACAGATAACAAAACGAAAATAAAGCTAGGCATAATCCCCCGATTAGATATGTAGATATGTTTGTTTTGTGGGTGGGTGCATGGAATGTATTTTTCATGTTTTCGATGTGAAATATCAATGTACAGTAAAAAGTTGAAAGTAGCAAACACTATATTAAACTGTTTTTGAAATAACGACTTATCGTCTTCTGTCAGAGACCTGTTGTGAGTAGATCTACTGTTATATTAACATGATCACCAAGTACCCTCAAGCTGCCTGCTAATAACAACTAACCATTCAACCAACATAAAAGGGAGCCATTATAAGTCCAATGTAGCCAAATCAACATGGAATCACATTGACCATCCCTTACTTTAAACAAGCCCATAAAGGAGCGGCAATCATTCAATAGGCAAAGCATTTGCTTGTAAACTTTACTACGTAGTCTACCATATTTTAAACATAGGCCGTCATTTATTCACCGAACGTGCTCTACGATGAATGTCTTCGTACACATCCATATTCCAGGTTTATCGTTCGTTTGGACAGCGTAGATAGTTAGCCCATTGTATAGCTGTGAGCTTAAGCAAACAGAAAATCATTTGTTCGCTCGCAGTTATGTCGTTAGGTATTAGTGATGTTAGTTGGGATGGATTGACGTGTAAATGTAAATATGCTTTTATCATCAACTTAGAAAAAATTGTCTGACGTAGTGTATAAAAAATTGCGTTGCTTCGTTAACCCTAAAATTGTTAAAGGGCCCAAGGGTCAACGATTGTTAAAGCACGCTTGTTTAAGCTATTTATGCACGAAATTGCTTTACTTGTGGGTTCATTACTTTGCTGGCTGCAGGGTCCCTAATAACATACGAACGATTTACACACACGGGGGGGGGGGGTAAACATAAATACAATCAATACCATAAACACTCGCACTAATCTCTGCTAGGTCCCCTTGTATGTATTGAAATACAATCAATGCTATAAACACTCGCACTAATCTCTGCTAGGTCCCCTTGTATGTATTGAAATACAATCAATGCTATAAACACTCGCACTAATCTCTGCTAGGTCCCCTTGTATGTATTGAAATACAATCAATGCTATAAACACTCACACTAATCTCTGCTAGGTCCCCTTGTGTCTTTTACATATAAAACGAGTGATTTTACCCAATGTTTGAGTGATGTAACAGCAGAAACATTGAGTTAGTCAATAATGTGCACTAAGTATACAAATTAATCTTTTAATGCTTTACACAGTATGATGTACTGTGTTTGTAATCGGATAATAGGGAGCATCTTTTAAAAACATTCAGACTTTTGCCTATTCGTAAAATGCATGTACTTTACGTGTGTGTGTGTGATATCTATCTACTTTACGTCTGTGTGTGTGATATCTATCTACTTTACGTGTGTGTGTGTGATATCTATCTACTTTACGTCTGTGTGTGTGATATCTATCTACTTTACGT